TGTGTGTGTGTGTGTGTGTGTGTGTGTGTGTGCGTGTGTGTGTGTGTGTGTGTGTGTGTGTGTGTGTGTGTGTGTGTGTGTGTGTGTGTGTGTGTGTGTGTGTGTGTGTGTGTGTGTGTGTGTGTGTGTGTGTGTGTGTGTGTGTGTGTGTGTGTGTGGATGAATAACTGCTAATTCAAATTTTCTGTTGAGTGAACAAAGTGATCAATTGCAGTAGATAATATATAAGTAGAAAAAAGGGTTAAACAAATCAAGATCAACATCATGTACACAGATTACACATAGCGGTCATTGCTTCCTTGGGTAGAAATTTGTGTAAACCTGGGTCAAACATGTGATATCGTCTGTTGTGTTTTCTTTCAGGTAAGAAGGAATGCAATTTGTGCTGTGTAGGATTATGATAATTACAAAAATAAAACTAATACTATATTCGTACTACATAAATAAAAAAAGAAATAAATAGAAAAAAAAAAAAAAAAAAAAAAAAAAAAAAGATTCCCAAGAAATTACCACTTCAAGTCTGATGTAAAATCATAGAATACTTCTTTCTAAATATATACAATAATTCCTTAAAAAACATTATACATGACTTTCTTTACATGCATTTAAAAATTCTCAAACTGTATTTCTTCAAAAAAGAGAATGCTATTTGGAGAGATATATATAGATAACATTAATAGCAAAGTGTGAAGATCACTTTTAAGCATCACTTCAAGCATCATTATAGAAAGCATGCATCAAAACATGTTGAAATAAATGTGAGTTACACTCTCAAAAAACGTTGCTAAAGCAATGAGTGAATCTTTAGCTGCAAAACATGGGCCAGAGTGGAGTCAGCTGGCGGAAGCATCCCGTCTCTTAGGGTCTGGTACTTTAGATATGAATTTCATGATCTCAAAATACCTGGATAAGTTTCTGTTGATACTGAAAATGAGATTGTCTTGAAAAGCATTGGCGGTAAAAATAGCAATCTGCTCTCTATCATTCACTCTCTCTTGCTTGCACTCTGCTTCCATTTTCATCCCCCACTTCTCCCATTCCTGTTCTCTTTTCTCTCTTTCTTCTTACTTGTTTCTCTTCCCTCTCTCTCTCTCTATCTATCTTCTATCTCTCTATCTATCTTCTCTCTTTCTCTCTCACTTCACTTTCTCTCTTTTCTTTCTCTCACTTCACTTTCTCTCTCTCTCTCCACTTTCTCTCTCCCTTTTTCTACCTCTCTTGTATTCTCTATCCCTCTTATTTCCTTTCAGCACTCTATCTAGAATGTGTATCTTTTTATAGTATGGTAAATTGTAGCATTTTATTTGGCACTATCACATCACTGCATGATACATAATACCCTCACAAAATATGTTTCATCCAACTTTTTCCCGTTGACATGCTTTCCTCTCCCAGCAGTGTGCCCCTACCCAGGTCTTTGAAGATTAGACCTCATCCCACCCAGTATTACTCATGCCACCATGCATCAAAAGCATGCATTAGCCCAATGAGCCATAATAGTGGAAAAACCAACCCATTTCCACTTTTCTCTAACCAAAACAGCCAGATTATCTCACTCTCTCATTCTCTTACATTTACACCCTCCCTAACTCACTCGCTTTCTCTCTTTCTCTCTCTAAGCGTATAGAACCTGTGAAGCTACAGGTACTTTGGAGCTTTCATAATCAGCAAAGTTGGAGAAATCAGTTTTATATATATATATATATATATATATATATATATATATGTATATATATTTGGGACACATAACAGCAATCATGCAAAACATTTATTCATAGCACAGAACATAAAGGTCTGCATGGCATGCAACTTTTCTCATGACATTCACTGTGACTTACTCCCCATCCTGTTTGCCATGCGAGGGAGACAAACATGTGGGGGCACTCCAGAGATAGAGATTGACCTCATGCGATCTTCCACTGGATGCGCCCCTGTTTCCAGCAAGCTCACTGAGCGAAGTGCTTCACCATGAGTATCTATTGTCGATCAATGAGGGTCATAGCATTAACAACTGAGTTTTGAAATATGCAAGATGAAAACAACTTGCAAGCAATTTTTCTTTGTACACCAGAAATATATATATTCATTAGGTTTGTATAATGAGAGACTTTGTCATTCATGAGAGGTCTTAGTCAACTTCATACCACTGCTGATTCAAACACATCCATTAAAGAAATAAATGAACAATAAAAATATCCAATGTCTGAAAATGAATTCCCAAGCTTTTCCTACTCTAAAATTATTACTGTCTACCAAGAATATCTAAGCAGGATTCATCTTTTCATAAATATATATGTAAAAGAAAAACACATATAATAAAAGGGATGATTATAAATATGCCCATAGTGCAATTAATGATTAATTGTCCAACATAGCTATTCCAAGTCATGTGCTCCCATTCAATCTATCAGAATATGAGGGTACGTCTGCAGTTTAAATTTTCTCATTTGCATTTGTGCTTTTATTCTACATTTATCACAATGGGCTCTATTTGATATACTTCACCTCAAGAGAACATAAATTTGATATGCATACAACCAACATATTAATTCTAAAACAACCTACCCATAGCTATGCACAAGGATTATCTACACTGTTCTACCATATACTACAGAATATTGGATTTATAGTAATAACATGGTCAATAACAAGGTAAATAATAACAATAATAATAATCATCATTATATGATTATCATCATTATTATAAGAACAAGGATAACAATCATGATGATTATAAAACTAATGAAAATAATAACAGCAACAGTAATAATAATGTCAATAGAGACAACTCTCTAACTGAAGTACAAGTACTCTGAAATCATAATACAATTAAAGAGACAGATGCAGATTTCCTGAAAATGAAATTTGGTTAACCCCGACGATCCGGATGATGTTATGGTCCTATCAGGGAAAAAATCTGGATTGAGGGCAGGGTGACATGAACATGTCTTCATAAGGCAAAAAGGCTGCAGGCCGGGACACGAACTTGCCATTGTGCACGAAGGGCAGGGTGATGGAAAAGACTTGCCCTTGTGCACAAAGCTCTTGGAGCGTGCTTTGACTCATTTCGTGCTTAGAAGGGGGCTTTAATATTATTCCCATTATTGTATTACAGAAAATTGAAAATTACAAAAAGATAAGACATATGACACAAATAACCAAAATCTTTGATACTTTTTTATTGCAGAAAGTAATTTACTACACTGAGAGACGATATGGAGTCTGTGCAAGGAAAATATGCTATTACCATCTGGACAAAGCAAATCAAAAGACAAATATGGACATTGGAAAATGGCAAAAAAAGCTAAAAAAGTTTATACAAAAGGGAGGTATAGACTCATCACCACTAATGGGCGTTCACATGCACCCAGCCTACACGCCACATGCCCGGGATGTTGGCTACTTACATAACCCACTGCCCATATTTTTGGCACCATGATTTCCATGACATGACCAGATCCAACGGTTAATAGAACAAACGTATCATTAACCAGAGAAGATAATGTCCAACTTACATAAAAAACATTAAAAAGGAGGGACAGTTTTCAATATTCTATTTTCCAATAATCAGTATTACCCATTATGTCTCTTACCTATTCAGTATGATCATGAACCATAAACTAACAAAAAGAGAAGGAAGATGAAAAAGAAGAAAAAGAAGAAGGAGAAGATAAAGGAGAACAAAAACAAGAAGCAAGAGAGAGAGTGAAATTAAGAAAGAGAAAGAAAAAGAAACAAGACTCAATTCACCTTTCTTCGGGGTTGTTGGCTCTGAAGCTGGTGTCCCATGCATCTGCGGAGCCAGAGTTGGCATGATGGGAGCTGTCAGGAGTCGGTATTCTGTGTTCACATCCCAAAGTGCGTGGCAAATAGAGTCCACCAAGTACCTGCGTATTTCATCAAGGTCCACTCGCCCTGATTCCCAAACTTTGAACTGAAGCATCGCCATTGGCCCTGGGCAACAAATTCATTAAAGAACAACAATATCTAGGTTCTTTGCATAATATAAGCAATACTGTAAAAGATGTCCTCCTATACATTTCTCGTTTTGAAACCTATAAATCAAGAAAACTACATATTTTTTCTGCACATTTCTTGTAAAATTTCAAGTTCAGGTGAACAATATTGACATATTTACAACTCCTTACCTGGACTCTTAGTTGGGCTGGGTTGATATTCTTGAGTCTGAGTTAAAGCTTCAAAATCATGTTTTGAAAAGATTTCTTGATAGGCATCTGGGGAAGGTCTCGGACAGCTGGAAGCAAAAAAATTATCATATTTAAAAAATACTTTGCTTAGGAGGAACTTGATCATCAATGAGTGAATGCAGTTTGAAGTATAAGGTAATACTCACTGTGTTATTACTATTGTTTTTATTATAACTACTGTAGCAGTAGTTCCATCTTGTTTTACTTATTCCTCTCAAGAATTTCACACTTTATTACCAATGAATCATACTTAGTAACAATCACAAATCAGTAAATAATATCAAAGGGCCAGATCTTAAAGAAATATTTCCAAAGTAAACCCACTTAAAATAATGTGCAATCAATATGATCACTTGATTAACTGAATAGCGACGGGTAGTATTGTTTTGTTTAGTATTGTTTTGTTAAATGTTTCTGCACACAGATGGCTCTGCCAATGCTTAGCCACAAAGGAGTCAATTAGTAGATCTTCTGACACCCTCTTTTTTTGAAATAGCGGGAAAACACTCTTTTTAGTAATGCTATCAATATCCACAGTCATTTTTGTTATAAACATTATAACTACTACATTGTTATTGAAATTACAAAAGTAATAGATACTAGAAAATATTATTGAAAATCAAGGAAAAGGGTAAACAGGTGAGAGAGATAGTTCTCATAATTGGCTCATTGTGACTTTACTTATGGTGCCATCTATATGTAAAAACAATTACTAAATTAAACACACAGTGGTCATGGCATGTATGCACGTCATCCACGGTGGCAAGTGGTTAATTTTATTATTTAATAATCTTAACCCAATGCCCCTGGGAAATTATTGTGTTCACTGTAATATATTTTTGTGAATTTTTTCTTCACATAGATGGCTCTGCAAATGCTTAGCCACATAGGAGTCAATCAATAGACCTTGTTACTTCAATTGAATTAACTTTTCTTTGAGTTATTAATCCACTAACACCAGTATATTTTGAAGCCGAAAAGAATATTTTCTGAGCGGCTACAAAATCGGTGCGCAGGGCCGGCCCGGAATCTACCTGCATACCGGCTGCGGCCCGTGATGTATTTATAATTACTATAGCATTATTGACATTACTAACAGTAATATTAGATGCCACAAAATATTTCTAAAAATCAAGGAAATAGATAAACAGGTGAGACAGGTAGTCCTCATAACTGGCTCATTGCTGACTTTGTACTTGTAGAACCATCTATGTACAGTAACAATTACTAAATTAAACACAGTGGGTTTTGTATGTACTCACATGCCATCCACAGCGGCATGTGGTTAGGAGGTGTTAATTCTTCTCTCAAATAACATTTAATAAAGACTAACCTGATGTGCTGTACAGTGTTGCTGCTCCCATCAACTATGGAGAAAGCTATACAAGCTATGCCTTTTGCAGCAGACATTCTCGGTCTCACAAAGAGGAAGATGTTGGGTTCGCTAGACATTTCTTGGTCCGTTGCTGAAAAGTCCTAAAAAGGAAAAGAGGTAAACCACAAAAAAATTAGCTTTACAGCATAGCTGGAAGTGTTTTCATTTATAGCAATTTTTATTATATGCATATTTTCTTTTTCTTAGAATTATGAGTAAATTCATGGGTAATCCATTACAGCAATAGATGCAATTCAGTTAAATAGAAAGCAATTAATAGCAGTAGAAAGGTTTATAAATTATTCTATTTCCTCCCCACCAGACACAGAGGGGCCAGAATATTAAATACTGAACAGCAATCATACTAGTAAATACCTGAAAATGATGCTCTGGGCGATTATCTGCAAATTTGGGATGAATAAAGCTGCAGGACAACATATTCTGCCGCAGATAGTAACCGACAGCTTGGAGGTACGGAAGAGCATTAGCACTGACAGTAAACCTGCCAAAAAGAAATACAGTGATTGCACAAAGAAAAATAACAGATCTAGTTTAGGATATGCATTAAACATTCATTTACTTGCTATTAACCCCCTGGATGCGGATGACGTTGTGATCACGTCAAGGAAAAACTTGGGCAGCTACAAGGGTGACGTGAACAAAGTGTCATGAGGAAAGGCCAAGGTAATGGAAAAGACTCGCCACTAGTGCACAAACCTCTTGGAGTATGATTTGACTCATTTGGCGCTTAGAAGGGGGGTTTAGCATTATTCCCATCGATAAACAAATGTGGAATGTAACGTGCGTAAGCAGTGACTGGAAGAGCACCAGCTCCTGGGAGGACACTATTTCCATGCAGTGCACCGTGTTCCTGGCCGCTGTGACCGGCAGCCCAGGTTGTATTACAGAAAATTGAAAATAAAATAAAAAATGAGATATATGGCACAAATAACCAAATGTTCCAAATTTTTTTCTTCTTGCACTGAGCTATTTACTACACAGAGAGATGATATGGAGTCTGTGCACAAAAAATGAGTAATTACCATCTAGATAAAGCAAATCAACAGACAAATAAGGACATTGGAAAATGGTGATAAAGCTAAAAAACTTTTCACAAAATAATTTCTCAAAGGGGAGGCACAGAGTCAGGCCTATGCGCCGCACGCCTGGGATGCTGGCCACTTACGTAACCATTGCAACCAGATCCAGGGGGTTAAAATATCATATTAGAAACAAAAACAATCACATGGCTGATTTGAAAATTAAATAGTGAGAAAAAACAGTAATTTCTTCAATCAGGTTGTTGATTGGCTGAATGCAATAAGACTGAATTACATTATTATATTTCAAATCATAATTATCACAAACCTGGCAATTAACAAAAAATTATCATAATCAAAATGATATCATGTCTTCACTCATAATCTAATTGTAATCAAGTTCATATCCACATATATAAGAAAGAGAGAAAGAAAGAAAGAAAGAAAAAAAAGATCTGATCTTTGTATAAATCAATAAGGTAAATAAATGGAATAAATGAACCATGTTGCCTTCTTTGAGACAGATCAAACCATGAACATGAGTCTCCTGCATCACAGCAAAATAAGAAAGGAGACTACCTCAGCACTGTCTTTGGTGGCTGATAGGGCGGCTGTATGAAATGCACGTCTTCTGGTGTAAGTTTGTGCTGAGGGTTGCTCCAGAGCATGATGCAGATGGCTTCCACCACAGCCTCGTCCAGGCGGTTCTGCAGCATCCGTACCAGTTCTTCCTTGATTGCAGGACCTGGAAAAATTCAAACATTAAGATTTCATAGGGGGAGAAGGCGTGAGAAAGAAGATAATGGGGGTAGAAAAGTATTATTAGTAGTAGTAGTAGTAGTAATAGTAGTAGTAGAAGGAAGAGGAGGCAGAATAGCCCTATGTACTTTTTCTGTTACAATTCCTTTTACATCTTTTTGGCTTAAATTTCAGATATACATTTCTTTGGTCTCTTCCTTCTAACCACAGCAGCTATATCCCAAAGAAAACTCTTAGATGGGTACATGAGAAACAAACTTCTGCTCACCTGGCTCTGCAATGCCATGCACTGTCAGAACGATGTAGTGGTTGCGTTTGCGCTGTGCAGGAGTGGAGGGGACACCCTCCATTATCACATCTTTCTCTCCGAATGAGCTCACACGTGGACGCAGTTCCTGTAGAGGATCACTTTATGGAAAACAAGGCCTTCTAAAAATAAATGTCAGCAAATACTAAATATTACATCCTAATTCTGTATCCCCGAAATCCTTGAATTGTATTTTGTATCCTTGAAATTAATGAGTACTGTATCCTTGGCTTTCTGAAAATTAGTACCTTGTATCCTTGAGGGTGAATCGAAACCATCTGACATGGTTGGTAATCCTAAAAAAATTATATCCTAAAATCCTTGAAAATAGAATCCTATCTGATTCATTTATTGTTCACAAAGATGATTTCATAATAAAGAAAGGGAGCTTCTTACAAATGGCTGAGATGTGCCCACATTCTTGAGGCTTAATGAATCATCCTCTCGGCTGCCTCGTTTACCAAGAGACACAGCAGATGAACTTCGGGACAAGCCACAGTCATCCCGTCGGCCGTCCACTTGAGGTGAGACTGATACAGACTGCTGTTCGTTCAGTCTAGAGTACATTTTTGATCAGCACAGAAAAACTCAAGAAATTGATAATAATATATGATTAAATTCTCAGTGTCAATAAAACTAACATTAAATGATAATCATAACAACCATTTATGAGATCTTAGTACATTTATTTTCTTTACATTTTTTTATTAATGATTTTTAAATGGACTTTAAGTTACTGTTATTATTTTTGCTGAAAGCTGAACGTACATAACAAATGCAGAAAATGGTATAAATGAGACTGGGTAACTTCAATTAAATATTCACCAAATCAGAGCATATGTAATTCTGATGAAAGATTTAGCTTAGTTATGTAAACTGCACCTCTTATATTGGCAAGTTGTTCAATCTCACTAACATATTTTCCAATGTCTTACCTTAAGTAGAACACATTTGATCCATTCCCTGAGCTGTCCTCATAAACAAACATATTCTTCCGGTTGTTGACTGAGAATGGGTTGAGGATAGTCCGAAGAGCTTGAATGCCTTTGCTGCATACCTTCCCAGCACCTAACTTTACTTTTGGATGCAGTTCAAAGTGAGTTTCCCACACTACTTGACAAGCAAATGCTCCTGCTTTAAACTTGAGAGCTGCTTCTAGATAACCTCGAGTATCAGGATCTCCATCTGCAATGTTGTGTCCCGTACAATTAACTTCTTTGGCAATAAAATGTTAGATTTTGTACAATTAATTTCTTTGGCCCAGAAATGGTACAATCAATATTTTTGGTAAAAACTGGTGTCGCACTCAAGATAACTTAATTAAATTAATGTAATACTTTCTACTTCTTTCTCTACTTATCATCTCCTGAAATTCTGCATATATCTATATAAAAATATTCCAAGAAAGTAAGGTCAAAACTTTATCTCACCATCTATCCCTCGTCCCTTTGATTCTTCATGCCGCCAGATGTCATCACATGTTTCTGGTTCAAGGAGACGGTTACACATGCGTGTATTATGCAGATCTTGTAGTAACAGTGTCTGGTTGACAATCTTAACAAGATTCCGAACACTCCTCACAACTTCTGCTTGAACACCCCGCCAACGAGCCATCTCTGCTTCAGTCCTTAGAGAGAACAGTAAGGCTTGCAAATCATCTACTAAAATATTTTTGACATCAATCTTGCATCCTAAGGATTTTATTTTTCTTTTGATAAATAACATCTTAACCCTACAATATACAGTCAAATGAATCTGATTATAAACCAAAGATTTGCATACTGCACTTGAGATGGAAACCTTATTTACCTGCAATGGAAAAACGTATCCACCCTGTCTTTGGAAACCCTTAAGATCAGCCAAAACTCTGGCAGGAAAGGCCTCACTGACTCAAAGTCCTGTAGCCAGTCACAGCAGTCATTGTCAGAGTCACTTATGTCTCCCTCACACCCATCCTCTGTGGTCTGTCCGGACTCCAACAGACTTGACACGTCAGAATAATGACCTCCGGGAACAGAGCCAGTTCCTGAGTTGTGGCGGCTCTTCATAAGCTCACCTCCAGCTCCTAAGAAAGATCAAAATCTTATTTGGAGAATTCATGGGTGTAATATCTAATCAGAAGGTACATACTTAGGTAAACAATTACTAATAAATTTATCATACAAAAGTAATATTTCATGCTTAGCAATTCTTAGAACTTGTGATCCAATCATTACAAAAATTATTGTAGATTGGCTAATGATTTTAGAAATATCTATCAAGTAAATATACAAGTTACCTGAACTGTGCCTGCTTTTCAGTAGATCTGCACTTGCCCCAGAATTATGCCTACTTTTCATGAGCTCTGCAGAATTGTGACGACTTTTGAACAATTCTGCCCACAAACCACAACTACTGAAAATTCCAAGAATAGTATTACATGAAAGGAACAAAATATCTGGTCCAGTAAGGTGTCCCCCATTTATAATACAATAATCCAAGTTCCTTTGTTACCCTTGCAGTCCAAGGCTGACCCATTTCCTTCCTGATTATCCATCAGAAGGCAATAATTATTCTTAGTTATATCTTGTCAACAATTTATGTAAGAATTTTAAAAATCAAATGTAAGTACATCACTAAAGTAGCAATTTTTATATATCTCATTAAAACAAAAACATTAACAATGGTTATCTATTATTATTTTTATATTGGGCTTCATGGTACTTCTTTTACCTATACAAGGACTCTGTACAAAGTTCATCTTCTCCCCAATTCCTTCCCATACAAATATTCCTCTCTTAAATTTGTAAGCTCTGTAAAACAAACTTTTTAAAATTTTAAGGTAAGACAGTAAAAAAAAAAATAATAATGAAAAAAAAAAAAAAATAATAATAATAATAAAAAAAAATAAAATAAATAAATAATAAATAAAAAATAAAATAAATAGATAAATAAATAAATACATAAATAAATAAATATATATATATATATACATATATATATATATATATATATAATATATATATATATATATATATATATATATATATATATATATATATATATATATATATATATGCAATTGTAACATGAAAATTATCTAACTTTGGAGGTGATTACACCAACACTACAAAAATGCCCTCCAAGGATTTGCATATCCTTTTCTGTCTTGTAATAAATGCACAAGCACTAGTAAGACCTCATAAATCTAAAAATACTATATGAGCAGCAGCAGTAACGACTAATCATGAATGCATTGTCCTAATATCAAAAGCATATCAATTAAAAGTCATCATACAGTATTCACACCTTCCACTGGTATTCATCACACTGCTTGATGATCCTCTAAGCTGTTCCACTGCTGCCTCTGTCACATTTGGGACAAAGTTGTCTGTGCTTGCAGATTTTCGAATCACTTCTGCTGATGCCTGAGGCCGGGGAATGCTTTCGGAACCACACCTGCAGTTACCATAGGAAAATGGTTTGTTTGTGATGCAAACTTTGGGGTAAGAGAAGTTTACTTCCTTTCTCCTGGCTAATTCAATTCATTCTGTCAATTACTTACAAACAAGAAAGTGCTCATAAGATAAAAAAACAACATATTTCCATTTTATATTATTTGCATTCATTCACTTTAAAATATCAAATGACAGAAGCTTGTGGTGTTTATAACTTCATCTGCTCTCTATATTGATTCCAGTTCTTCTAAAACTGAGAACCAAAGGAATCATTTTCATAATTAAGTAATACTGAGCAATTCTTGAAAACACTATTAACTGTCAATGCTTAACCCAGTCACGCCAGTATATTTTGAAGCCAAAAATAAAATATTCCGGGCAGCTACAAAATCGGCAGGCGGAGCCTGCTGGCCACGGCCCGCTGCTGCGTCGGAGAGCGAGCCCCGATACAGTGTCACACTGGCGGGATGCCCGGCAATGTTTATTTTTTTCGGGTGTCTCATATATGGGACACCTGTCACTAATGGCTTAAAAATGTTCCTAATTTGTAAATATGGCAAAATTTGCAATCTAAAATATAAGCAAAATATGATTTATCAAGTATTAAAGCCTTGTTGCTATCATTATTTAACAGCAACAACATGTAACAAACATTTCAAATCACTTACCTAATTAGCTCATTGAGAGGTAAGGACAGTCGATGAGCTCCGTCTTTGAATGGCTTCTCTGCACCTGCAGATGTAGTGTCTTGAGAAACCAGACTGCTGGACCTTCCCAATGCAACTTCATGTGCAACTGCTTCTTCACTTGCCATCTTGGCTTCGCTGCATAATTCTGTATTTGACTGACTGGTAACTTCTGTTTTGGACATTTCCTTGAGGGACTCACTGCCTTCCTCTTTGGGGGTTGCACCCTTAACTTCAATCAGGTCACTTATTACTATTGGCTTTGCTGTTTCATCTGAGAGCCCAGCTAAGTCTGCAATCTGAACGTCTTTTGGTATGCCACGTGAACTAGCTGTTTGCTCTTCCAAAGGTGCATTATCCAAGCTATAAATGTTGATTTCCTCTCCAGTTTCCTTGTCTTTCTGCTGTGGGAGCACACATTCTGCATCTTCTGAAGTTAAAGCATCCTGCCGTTTTACAGTTCTGGTCTCTGTGATCGCTATAGTTGTGCCCTGTGGTTGTTTGACAGGGAACTCATCATCTTTACTTATAACTTCTTCTAATTTGGATACAGGTAAATCAGCAGGTAGGATTATACTCTTCTTTGGAGACTCGTATGAACGGACTCTTATGTCACATGGCTGATGTGAAGACTCTCGTGAAAAATTACCTCTCATGTGGTTATCATCTGGCAAATTAAAATACAGAAACAATTATCAATATCAGATAATAAATTCTTTTCTATAATAAGGTCTTTCCAATAACCTTGACCCTACAAATCAATAACAGATATCAATTAACTTTTCGTCTTTCTTGAAGTAGTACATGTATCATATCTCATGCATTGGTAATTTGCTTATGAATGTATACCTGAGTCAGAGTCTGAAGAGTTAACAGATCCCCTTCTTTCCGAGTCTCTTCTTTCCTTCCTTTCTCTTCGCCGAACCCATTTCTCTTTCTCTGACCCATCTGCTCGTAAACTGCTTTCACCCTCCCCAAAAAATGCTGCCAAAATAAATTTTATAATTATATAAATAATGCATAGAAAGAAAAATAATAATTGATACATAGATATAGATATATAGACAAAGATATATAGATAGATAGATAGATAGAGATACACAGACATGTAGATATAAACAAACAGATTACAGATTTATTGTTAAGATAGATATATAAATACATTTTGAGACGTCTGATATACTGAATATGCTCTTTTTCTGTCCATGAGTTTTGGTGTGAAGCCTACAATAACTAACTAACTAATCATAGATATCAACTTAGCAGATTTTGTAACCAAAGCAATCAGCATATCCAGGCACCAAGAAAAAAAAGTATAAGAAATTCCGTTCTTGCTATCCTTCAGTTCCCAACCTCTCCTCTGCTTCAACTAGGTAAGGACAATTAAAAACTTAAACTTGTAGGTAACAGCCCTAGCAAGGCTCCTTGCAAATGAAGGAAAAGACATACATCATATGTCTTGAGACACAAAAAAAGAGCATTTTTCATCTACCAAATACCTCCTTATCTTGTCCCTTGAGGTCTGGTGTGACAGCAGATTACAAATTAACAAAAAAAAAGGGATGGAAGTGGAAAAAGAAAAAAAAGAACAGTACCCAACAAGGACCATAGAAACATAAACGTAAAAATTAAATATGATGATGAAGAACAGTCTGGTGTATTGTCTATTTTGCATAAGCTCATTCATTTAAAAGTTCCAATTTAATTTGTAAATTTGGCACTACTCCAATCTAAAACACTAGACCTGGAGGACAGACATTATACAACACACACTTTTAACTAATCATTAAATGGAATTGGACTGACATTTCTCAACATTTTCATATAATTCCTTACATTCTGTATCAAATGAAACTTTTGCAGCCTGTATTTTGGTTGGAGGACTTTTGAGCACATCTGGCGATGATAGACTGACTTTATTCATCTGACATACATTCTCCATTTGCCTTAACTGAGCTGTGTCATCTGCATGTGGATGAGGTCTGTTGAAAAATGAGTCAGATTATATCATAAGAATTATAAGAAATATCTTCTAAAAATGTATAAGAATCATAAGAAATATCTTCTAAAAATGTATAAGAATCAATCAATATAACTTCACTAATAGTAATAGTAATCTATCATACTAATTCCAATACTACTTTACCCCCTATTTCATTTTTTCTGATCTTCTGATTTCTTCAAGTAAATGTGAAAGGTAAGATATAGTCAAATTTACACCACAGTGTAAAAGGTGAAATACTATTTGATTTACCTCACAATAAGAAACTGATTCTTGAAGCCTAAAGGTGGCACCAAAGATGAGAAGTGCCGCCTTCTTATTTGCGTCTTGTCTTGAACTAAATAATACAGAGACCCTTCCTGCTGTAGGTGATGACCGTTAACACTCAGTCTTCCAAATTCCTGCAATGCATCAGAATTTTCCAGCCATGTACATGAAAACACACATTTGTAATGTATGTATTTTCCAGGATAAAAGGGATAGAGGAACTGTAAGGACTTTCAATCTTATAATGAATCTATTAATCATTTTGTTCACACATATGAAAACCTTGTACCTGCATGAACTTATCCTTGCTCTGTTCCATACCACACACAAAGTTCAAGGGAATTGATTCTGATATGCAGTTTCTAGGCTTCTGTGAGCTCTCAACATGAGCCGCCACCATGTCCAGCATTTGCTCTGTGAGTGGATAACTATGCAACATAGATGATGCTATTTCATCACGGAGCAGCCACTTAATCTGCAAGAGCACATTTTTGTTAAGGAGGTGTCTCTAACCTAACCCCATGCAATAGTATGTACTGCCAAATCTTTCCTATATCAACCATTAGAGAAAAAAAGTTTGGAGCTACTTGTAACTAAATGATGGATAAACAGCTGTTAAAACTGACAGGTAAAATTATATTCTTTCACATTACCTACCACAGAAACCTAGGAATGAAAAAAAAAAAAGTATACGTAATCTACACAACAAACATCGATATTTGCAAAGCATTTCCATATTCTTACCTCATCTACTGTTGTTACAATGGCCTGATACTGACTATTTGGCAGGTGTGCAAGTTGATCCTCATCTTCAATATATCTGAATAAAGTCAGTAAAAAGCATATTCTTAGATGATCCACTGTATAAATTGAGAAGCATCACAAAAAACACAAAACAATTCTCTAGCACATTCATACTCCCTAGAGCCATTCCCCCTACAAACATCACACTTACGACTCATCTACATCTGTCATGGATGCACATGTTGATTCCGATATCGTCCTTCCTCTCTTTAGTTGTGGTGAAGCAGTTGAACAGAAGCTGGTGGTGCGATTGGACCTCAAATCCAGTAACGATGCAACACTCTCACTTGTCTCTGTGGTCGCTTGGGCAGGGGGAAGAGTCATGCAGAGCACATCCAGAGTCATGGTTACTGAAGATAAATCCACCTCATTGCTACCCAGGCACTGAACCACTTCATCTGGTAGGTGAATGAGACATTAAGTATAACCAAATTGCCTATCCAATGGATAAAATAAAATACATACTATACATATCTGTTGACTCTACCTATGTTTGTAATTAAAGTGAATCTATCAAAAGTAATCCAGTCATATTTGTCTGTCCAGATTCCAAGTTTCAAATATATCAGTAGGTTTTTAAAATATCCACTAGCCTATTATTCAAAGTGAGTTGTCACGTATTATGAAAGTCATTTACCTAAGCACGTTGGGAGACCTTTGACCGAGATGGTAGGCTGGACATGACCTGCCAAGAACACTCTGCAGGTAAGGTGAAGAAAGAGAGGAGGTATAGGCCCATCGCCCAAATCCATGTGGTCTGGCACAGTGCTTAGGTCCTCATCTCGCTCGCTAATGACAGAGGTCTTGTCCTCATCACCCTCAAAAGCAGTTAACTGGCTGTGCAGACGGCGATAAACTAAAAAATAAACAGTATCATTAGCACTTAAAATAAGATTTGTGTTTATGCAGTTAAAATATCTATATACAAATTCATTGGCACGTGTATGCATACACACAGACACACGCAAAACAAATATAAAAGTAATTTCAAAAACAGCTTCCTACCCACCCACATATATATACGCAGTAGGGTAAATCAACTGCAAACACACCCCAACAATTCAAAGAAACCTTTTCCATATGATTCCCTTCTTACCACTGCTTCCTACTTCTGATCTAAACTCTATGCTTTTGTCGTGGTCTTCCTCCTCTTCCCCAACATCATCATCATCGTCGTCGTCGTCTTCCTCTGCACCATTTACAGTTGTCTCATCTTCCAGTTCCTCTTCACCTTCAGTAAATACATCTGACTTCTGAAATCATGCAAATAATTTTTATGATCACAATCCCTAGAAGTTTTTTCTGTTTGATAACAACCCTAGAAGTTTTTTCTGTTTGATAACAACTGACAAGAAGCAATTGAATGATTTCTCTCAAGTTTCTTGAAAACATGAAGATTTAGTATTTATAAAATACATAAATATTTATGTATATAATTAATAAATCCATGAACACTTATACAATATAATATCAAGTAAAAAAAAATGCATGATGGTTACTGTTATATTCTTTAAAGCATAGTGAAACAAAACATGAAAAGCAAACACCATATACTTTGATATTACAAAGCTTTTTACAAGGGTCTATTAATTACAAAAGTAAACAGAAAAGAGAAAAAAAGGAAAAAAGGAGAAAATTATTGTAGAAGTACACAAACAATGCATTTTGCAAGTTGTATAATGCATAATGCCTTTATTCAAACATAGCAAACCCTTCATACACCCTCATGCATCAATGAATTCATACAACCTATATGCACCGATAAACTCATAATGCAGTCATCCCACCAAAGCATAGGTTGTAATGCATGACATGCAAATGTCAATGAGGATGCAAACATCAAGAAAAATTCATCACAGGATGTAGTAGATGAGAGATGCCGTAGCCTCGGAGTCACATTTTTCCCTATAGGTTCAAGAATCTTGTTTCAAAAAGAAAGACAAATATAATCTAAGAATTCTTAAGTATGAAAACAGAAAAAGGTACATGACTACTAAGATACCTAGAGTGAAATGTTGTAATGTTACAGTTTTACTACTAATAAAAAAACAGTCATATGTAACAAAGTAGAGGATAATAAACAGTATACAAGGATATTAATATTTTAAAAAGGCTATGTTAGTATACAGGCTGCTGCTTCTACATGAGATACATGCATACTTGTCAATAAGTATATTGCGTACATTACCCTCAGATCATCACAAAAATTTAAAAATAAATATTTATGACCAAGTATAATATATTTTAACTACTAACATTCAACCAAGAGAGATGAATTAACATATAAAAAACTAAACATGCAAAGCATAAATTCCTTTGAAATGAATCTGAGGTTACTGCACAAATACTTATAATGGAGTACCTTGCTGACAGATACCCTTCGCAATTTTCGATGCTTCGTCAGGTCAAGCTGAGCCTGTAAGGTTGGGCACTTTATTACTCATAGCAAGAAGGGGTTCAGACACCATGCTTGAAGTATCGAGGAGTACATCTCTGAATGTACTATATGCCTGAGCATGGAATGCTGTTTGAGACAAGAAATCAGCAACTTTGTGTACTTGTACATGTGCATGTGGGGGTTAAGAGGAGCTGTGTAGATGTGATTGTGTTAGTGTGAGTGTGTGTCTGAACATAGGTGTACATGTGCATGTGAGTATGCATATGTATAGATGTTTGTACACGTATGTGTTTATTCATGTGTGCATTGTCATGCATATGTGTGCGCATGTTAGTGTGAGTATTAGTCTATATGTGAGCATCTATATATGTGAATGTTATTTCTGTCTTTTATTGTGTATTTACCTATTAATACATTTTTTGATCATTCATATCTTGCCATACTGAAAAACTCAACTGAGCAACTTGTACTAGATTAATGAACTTTCTATACTGAATTGAAAAGTGTCAGTATACACACTCATAACATTTTAATGTAAGTAGGAAATATTTTCTGTGCTTACAGAAGTGTCCTTTCTATTTTCTAAACATAATTGAAAAAGACAGGGTGTGCTAAAACTAAACTAAACTATATGAAAATAAAAACATGCATCTTCTACCCTTTTCTATTATTGTGATTATTAGACATATTACTAGTAATCTGTTTAGTCTATGAAAAATATCCAGTATATATAACTTTAACCCATTCACTATCACAGGGTATCAATTAGACTGAAAAATCTGTCACAAAACTATCCTCCATGTCCATAATTTATCACAAAAGGGTCACAAAACAGAGAGAGGCTTTGAAGTATATCTACCTCCTGTAAATTATCTCCTTGCAATCATCCCACAGTATGTAAGATTTATCTACTTCATTGTCTAAGCGCTTTCAAATCTGGTTGTAAAAGTGAGAAAGTGCGGAAGATTGCTGTCCATTTCCAACTCACCCTCTACAGTAAAAAATTAACTAAACTAGCTTTGGTATGTCTCTTTTTGCTCAAAAGACAGTGAGAGTGAAATATATAAATCAATAAATAAGGACAAGGATGGAGATGGGGAGGAGGAGGAGGAAGAGAAGGAGGAGGAAAAGAAGAAGGACAAGGACAAGGGAAGGGTGAGGAATGAGAGAAGGAGAACAAGAATGAGAAAAAGAAAAGAAAGTTCTAAGGAAAGAAGAGGAACTAGGGTATAGGTGATAGACTTACCAACTAGCCTTGACAGGCAGGCTTCAAGTTCAACCAATAAATTCACAAGTTATTGATGTACACAAAGGAAAGGCTGGATGCAAAGTTATAACTATCTAACTCACAAGTTGGCAAGATACTGAGCTACATGTGCTACCTTAATAAATAATAATTTCAGTTCAAATGATCTGAATCTGTATAGCCCCAATGTAGATAATGTGGAAATATCTTTTGAGGGCTTTTGCTGTTTCAACAAATTCACTAAGTCAATGGGAATAAAAATTGTCAAATTTCATTATCCTCTCACAGAATTTAGCTTGCTAGAACCACAATTCTCCCTTCCTGTGCCTCCTTCCTTAATAATGATCCTGCACACAATTTAAAACTGATCCTGATTTTTTTACATACCTTAACATAGATATGCCATGATATCTAATTCAAATCAACCAGTTCAAATTGAGATTTACTCAACAAAAATTATCTCCTTTCCTCATTAATGTACGCCACACTTGAAAAAATGTAAAACTTGAACTCGCTTTCCTACCACGTCCATTACTGGATGCAAATTCCTCACTTTCAAGATTCTTTTTGAGGGATTACAACTCATTATCTGTATCTAAAATACTGCAAGGATTCTCCAAGCTAAAATGAGAACGGTCAAAATTATAGACATAATACATAAACATTACAAGCACACAGACAAAGATATACACATAATCACAAACAGAGACACAGCCACAACCGCAAAAACACACACACACAGTTGTCTCTCTTTAGAAGGGGAAAAGGGATTACTGGTATTGTAACAATTACAAATGTATTACACTGCGAGCTTCAGAGACCAGCTGCTAAGGCACCAGAGACCAGAACAACTCAAATTAATTTCTAGTAAAAGGCACAATAAACTGTATTCTTATATCTCAATCAACTGTACCATGGGGACTTCACAGTCATGGGCTGCTTGTCACCTACATCAGCCTGAAGAAGGCATTTGACTTATAGACAAGGAGATCTTGAGACTAAGATGATGGGACTGATAGTAAGCCTATATACTAATAGTGCTATAAGTTGTAGAAGGGGCATATCCAATTTTTTTTCTATGAATTCAGGGGTGGAGTAAGTAATATTAAGACCTTGAACTTGTTATCCTGTCTGAGTCTAGAGATCCCTTAGTGGCAGCTCTCAATGCAGTTAGTAGTGAGAAAAAGTCCTTGCCTCTAGTAACCAAGATCCTTGACTTCGGGGGTCTACAAGGAAAACCTGCTCAGTTGATATGTGCTTCCTCCTAGGAGACTGCAGTACAAAGAGCTATACAAATCTTGTTAGGTCAACAAGTAGATTGGCCAGATTGCTGGAATCATTAATTCGCTAAGAGGAGTATCTAGAAATGTTCTGATGTAGCCAGTTTTGCTGTACAGGTGTGAAAATTGGACACTATCCTGTGTTATGGAATCTCAACAACTTTTGTAACAGGCCCTTGTGTTGGTTCTTG